CAGCCGGTGCACTCTGGGGGCTGGCTTTTAAGCTGGCTCCCAGTGCACACCGACTCCCTGACACCCCCATGCTGCTGGCTCTGATACAGCAGTGCCAGCAAGGCAGGGTGGCAGCCGGCTCCCCAAAAGCGGGGTGGGAGCCAGCATGTAACCGTTAATAGTAACCAATGAGCCCAGGCTTATCGGTTAACCGTTTAAACAGTTATACCCTAACATCCCTAACCACGAGGCTACTATTTCTTATTTAGATATGCTCAGAAGCATCTTAAAATCACACAACACTAGAGCTGGAAGGGACCTCGAGGGGTCATCGAGTCCATCCCCTGCCCTCAGGGCAGGACCAAGCGCCGTCTAGATCATCCCTGACAGGTGTTTGTCCAACCTGCTCTTAAATCTCTCCAGTGATGGAGAATCCACAACCTCCCTAGTCAATTTATTCCAGTGCTTAATCACCCTCACAGGTAGGAAGTTTTTCCTACTGTCCAAACTAAACCTCCTATGCTGCAACTGAAGGTCGGAACAATTTTTCTCCCTCCTCCTTGTAACACCCTTTTAGATACACTCTCATGTGACTCTTAGGTACTCAGAGATATACGAAGACACAGTCTCCTCAGATAACTAGAGCCCTGCAAATCCAGATACCCGTTCTATATCCACGGGTCCCTGCTTCCGCCGAGATGGAGGCGGATACCTGCAGCTCATTTTTACCAATGTGGATACAAATGTCGTATCTAGAACCCGGCACAATTGCAGATGCCTGCGGGTCTCCACGGACGTGGACACAACTGGGTTCTCCAGACACCCCAAGCTCAGGCAACCTGACAAGCAGCGAGCCGCCAAGCCTGGCTATTTCTCCACCAGGTTTTATGAACGCTGCTTCTGGCAGCGCGATGGTTACACGGTTAACCCGGCAGCCTTTCACCCACACAAGCCCCACAGGCCTGTCAGCTTGGGTCACCCTCTCCATGGGGCTCGATGGCATAACGGCCCTGCAGTCGGCGCCAGGGGAGAAAGCTGCTAGCGAGGGAATACGGGGAGTCTGCCCCTCCCCTGAGCGGCACGTCCCGTCCCTTTCCACTCACCCCAGTGGAGGTAGCCTCCCCGCACTGCAGCGTGCCCGGCGACCTTCCCTTCCTCCTGCGCAGGGAGCCCCTCAGTATGCCGTGAACTGCCCTCCCTTTATAGGCGATGAGCTACCTCCTGTCACCAGTGCAGGGAGCCCCTTCTTGTCCCGACAGGGTGTCCCAGGGCACCCCCATACCAGCAAGGAGCCCTTCCCCTCAGGGCAGCAACCCCCCACTGCACACTGAGCCGGCCTGCTGACCCCTTGTCAATGCGGAGTGCAGTCACACCCACCCTACTGCCACCTATGGCTAAGCCCTCCTCCCAGTGCTGTGCAAGCAATGGGCCCCCCCACCCCACTGCTACCTATGGCTTAGCTCCCCTAGAGCAGTGCATGCAGTCCATGCGGGAAAGCAGCCAGCTGCTTGTTTTCTGTTCCTTACCGTTTCTCATATTGGCTAACGACTGCAGCAGAAGTGCCTTGGAAAAACCCCCTTGTTTTTTTCTGTGCTTATTTCCCAGAGAGATGGGATTAGAGAGGGGAGGCCTAAGGCAGGGGAGGAGAAGCAACATACGATGTAAGGCTTGCAGGGACCTAGCCGCACACCTCTCCAACTTTTAATACTAAACGAAAGCCCTGGTGGAGCTGAGGGAGCAGTGAAACATTAGAGTCACATCAGCCTACATGTCAACAGCTACGTCTTCAATCTGGTGCTAACAGCCCAGAAATCACCAGGCAACTCGAGCCCAAGGCAGGGGGATGTTTAGTACGAGTTCACATCTATAAATGGGAGCCCACCTCCTCTCCGTGCAGAAGCAGCGGAATCAACTGAAATGGGGACTGTGCGGCTGGAAAGATTTAAAAACGAAATGAAACAGAAACCAGAGCAAAAGAAGCTCAGACTCACGGCCAAGGACAGAGCCATCTGGCATCTAGCATCCAAACACCCAGCAGGGCAGAGCTTGTCCAAGAAGCAGGTAACAGGAAACACATCGGAGGTGAATGCAGCAAGTCAATAGCTGATTTCATTCTGAAGAGGCCAGAGACTTTGCAGGGACTATCAGCAGTTGGGTCCTACAGCTTCACAGCTGGCTTGGAGGACAGCACTGCTGGTCAGCCATAGGCGGCCAGTTCTCTGTTGAATAAAATGCATCCCTCCCCCTACCAAGCTCTCTCCGTGACAAGTAGAGGTCACAGATGACCCCTTGGGGATGATTCCTGGGGTGCTGGCAAAGTGAGTGCCACCCTCCTTTTTGAACTCTGGGGCGTCTCACCACCCTGTTCTGCTGGGCCAGCTCCCTGGTCTCTCCCACCCAAGGCACAGAGCTGAGACCTTTGAAAGAGCAAAACATATCGGCTGCATCTAGACTATCAAGTTTTTCTTCAAAAGCAGCTGCTTATGCGCAAAAACTTGCCAGCTGTCTACACTGGCCACTTGATTTTGCTCAAAAGCACTGACGTTCTACTGTCCAAAACCAGTGCTTCTTGTGCAAATGCTTTGACGTTCCCGTTCGGGCAAAAGCCCTTTTCCGGAAACGTTTTCGCGCAAAAGGGCCAGTGTAGACAGCTAAAAACTGTTTTGCGCAAAAAAGCCCCGATGGCGAAAATGGTGATCGGGGCTCTCTCGCACAAAACCGCATCTAGATTGGCACAGACACTTTTCCGCAAAAAATGCTTTTGAGGAAAAGCGTCCGTGCCAATCTAGACGCTCTTTTCCGCAAATGCTTTTAACGGAAAAACTTTTCTGTTAAAAGCATCTGTGGAAAATCATGCTAGTCTAGACGCAGCCATCATGTTTTAGGCCAGTTCAGCCCCCTTTTAGGGTAACAAGTCCAAGAGTCAAAACTAAGTATCGCCTACACCAAATCCTGCTTTTACCCCTCTTGGGCTTTTACCCCTCTTGGGCTATTTGTACCTCTCCACAGAGAAGGCCGCTTAGGACATTCCCTCCCTGCTGTGTCTGCTACCTATGGCTTAGCCCCCAGTGCCATGACCCCCATTGCTACCTATGGCTTAGCCCCCAGTGCAGCGACCCCCATTGCTACCTATGGCTTAGCCCCCAGTGCAGCGACCCCCATTGCTACCTATGGCTTAGCCCCCAGTGCAGCGACCCCCATTGCTACCTATGGCTTAGCCCCCAGTGCAGCGACCCCCATTGCTACCTATGGCTTAGCCCCCAGTGCAGCGACCCCCATTGCTACCTATGGCTTAGCCCCCAGTGCAGCGACCCCCATTGCTACCTATGGCTTAGCCCCCAGTGCAGCGACCCCCATTGCTACCTATGGCTTAGCCCCCAGTGCAGCGACCCCCATTGCTACCTATGGCTTAGCCCCCAGTGCAGCGACCCCCATTGCTACCTATGGCTTAGCCCCCAGTGCAGCGACCCCCATTGCTACCTATGGCTTAGCCCCCAGTGCAGCGACCCCCATTGCTACCTATGGCTTAGCCCCCAGTGCAGCGACCCCCATTGCTACCTATGGCTTAGCCCCCAGTGCAGCGACCCCCATTGCTACCTATGGCTTAGCCCCCAGTGCAGCGACCCCCATTGCTACCTATGGCTTAGCCCCCAGTGCAGCGACCCCCATTGCTACCTATGGCTTAGCCCCCAGTGCAGCGACCCCCATTGCTACCTATGGCTTAGCCCCCAGTGCAGCGACCCCCATTGCTACCTATGGCTTAGCCCCCAGTGCAGCGACCCCCATTGCTACCTATGGCTTAGCCCCCAGTGCAGCGACCCCCATTGCTACCTATGGCTTAGCCCCCAGTGCAGCGACCCCCATTGCTACCTATGGCTTAGCCCCCAGTGCAGCGACCCCCATTGCTACCTATGGCTTAGCCCCCAGTGCAGCGACCCCCATTGCTACCTATGGCTTAGCCCCCAGTGCAGCGACCCCCATTGCTACCTATGGCTTAGCCCCCAGTGCAGCGACCCCCATTGCTACCTATGGCTTAGCCCCCAGTGCAGCGACCCCCATTGCTACCTATGGCTTAGCCCCCAGTGCAGCGACCCCCATTGCTACCTATGGCTTAGCCCCCAGTGCAGCGACCCCCATTGCTACCTATGGCTTAGCCCCCAGTGCAGCGACCCCCATTGCTACCTATGGCTTAGCCCCCAGTGCAGCGACCCCCATTGCTACCTATGGCTTAGCCCCCAGTGCAGCGACCCCCATTGCTACCTATGGCTTAGCCCCCAGTGCAGCGACCCCCATTGCTACCTATGGCTTAGCCCCCAGTGCAGCGACCCCCATTGCTACCTATGGCTTAGCCCCCAGTGCAGCGACCCCCATTGCTACCTATGGCTTAGCCCCCAGTGCAGCGACCCCCATTGCTACCTATGGCTTAGCCCCCAGTGCAGCGACCCCCATACCCAGCGCTGGCTCTGGGGCGGAGCAGCCGGCTAAGGAAGCGGCGAGCTTTTACAGCCCGGGGTCCCAGCAGCGCAGGCCCACAGGCCATGCCACTTGTAACCACCAGGCTCCTCCCAGCCCTTTGGGCTGCCCAGTCCGCTTTCTGCCAACCCAATGGAGGTTTGCTTTAAACCGGCCTTTCATCCCTTAGGATGCCCCCTCAAACGACCAGGAGGACCCTTGGTTCTGGTGTGAGGAGGCAAATCAGAAGCCCAGGCCTGCACCCAGAGGAGCACCAAGCCAGCAAACACACCCCTGGAATAAAGAAAATCCCATGTGTGTTCTTTGCAACTTATTTATGATAAAACACACCTGCCCAGTGGAACCCTGGGCCCCGCACAGGGGCAGAAAGTAACCCAGCCAGTTAAAGCCACCTTAGTGAGCTTTATCTTATACTGCACCGGTCTGACCTTTTAACGGCAACAAAATAGTAAAGGCAATTCGTACAGGCAGCTTTATGAAGAAAGTTCATTTACTAAACAGTTTCCGTAGAGCTCTGACTTCTGGAGACAGCAGTTCTAGGGGCAGTTAAACTAAAAAACTGTTTCCAGATTTTTACATCCACCTAACCCAGTGCACAAGGCCCCCTGAATTGTGCGACATGGGTCGACAGAACTGGACAGGGGAAGGCTCATTTATTACACCGTCGCTTCAATTTCTGCTGGCTCTTCTTCCTCCAGCAGGCTGTAGGCGGCATGGGTCTGGAAGGGCCTCTGCAGGGGATGGGCCAGGAGCTTAGCCATGCAGTTGTGCAGCTCTACGGCAGGGCCTGTCACAGACACTTCATATTTGTAGTTGGTGCCTTTGGTGTCCAGGTTGCTGAAAAACGTGTACATCTCCTGGAACGGGACAGAGCAGCTCTGTTACAATCAGGCATTGTGTACAAAATAAGGGCTGGCTACAGCACACCCGGGGGGTTGGGAGACCTGGATTTTATTCCTAGCGCTGACACTGGCTCGCTGTGGGACGCTGAACTAGTCACTCCATTCCAGGCCTCGGTTGCCTTATTGGTGAAACAGGCAGTAATGTTGTCTGACCTCCATGCTAATGAATTCCATCGCATGGCATCCTGAACTCATTAGCACCTGGGATGTGATCCGCAGGCAGGCAGCACGAGAAATGTACAAACCGATCACGAGCCAATGCCAACACTAGATCAGTAAGAATGGTGCTCATCGAGGCTGATAGGAACTGACACGTAATCCTGTTGGGCCTAGATATTATGCACAATAGTGCACAGAGCATTGTAATGCCCAGGGCCACAACAGGAATTGAGATGTTAATAAGAAGGGCCTGGCCAAATTCACAGCCGTGAAAAACTTGTCACGTGCCGTGAAACCTGCCCCCTCTTCCCTTGGGGTGTGTCTAAACTACATGGCTCCGTCGATGGAGCCATGTAGATGAGGCTGATCGGCAGAGGGAAATGAAGCCGCGATTTAAATAATCGCGGCTTCATTTAAATTTAAATGGCTGCCCCGCTGAGCCGACAAACAGCTGATCAGCTGTTTGTCGGCTCAGGGCGCTAGTCTGGACGCTCCCGCGCCGACCTGAAAGTCCTTTATCGACCTCCCCGTTATGCCTC